GTACCATTTTTTGAACATGAGTACCAAACGGAAAAAAAAGTACCAATTTTGATACTAAAGTACCATAAGTGACAACCGTGCTTATAAGTATATAATTTAGTAACAACTTATTTATAAAAAAAAATTCTGAAATGTATATGCATTTCTAAAGCTCAGTCAAAACTTATTATTTTTATTATTCCTATTAAATCAAGTGTAAGTATTCATAAATCTATAAGTATATTTTAGTAACTTTTTACTACTTGCACTTTAATTTTATTATTGTTTTTTTTTTTTTATTATTTTGTATATAAAATTTTATTTTAAATTACTCATATTTTTATCTTTTTTGTCTTATATTACCAGTTTCATTATGAAACAAGCAAGTTTTACGGGTTAAGCCACTATGTACCGCTTTTGAAGAACAAAATGCTTTTGTCTTCTTATACAATCGGGCCATTCGTGTACTAAGACTATTGTGAGGGTGTTACAGGCAACACCTTACTTGCATTTATCATAAAATATATTTATCTATTATGTAAAATATACAAAGTTAAAGATATAAAATCAATATTCGTGCAAAAATATTTCAAAAGTCCTTGAAATGTTCTAAGTCATTAATTGAAATATTTCCTATGGCCGGTTTGTGGCATTGCTCTTTATTCATAAATTATAGCCAAAGGTGATATAATCAGTCATTCAACAGTCTTGTATGAGTTGAGCGATTAGCGATACTAATCGAAAATTAATTTATAACACACAAAGACTCTCATATGAGTATTCTCTATAGAATAAATTTTTTTTCTTGTTTTCGCAATTGCAATTTAAAATTAAAAATAATTAAAAAATCTTGCTAAAAGCAAATTACTATTTTATTCTAGAAGTAAGTAATTTGCTTTGTGTTCTGTAAATCTATAATTAATTCAAAAATGTATCTTTATAGCATTACTTCACACAAAATGTTTATATAAAATTTTTTAAGTATATATTTACATATTTTATATATGCAAGGATGTTATATGTATGGTTTCAAAAAAAAAAAATGTATATGAGTTTAAGTTTCTGACTGTGACTACTTATCTTTTTTCCATTAAAATTAATGGAATTCAACTCAGCTGCTTCACATACTTAATTATATACTTTTTTATTTTTTTGAAGTATATATTTTCAATGGAGACAAAAGTTAAAAAATAACAATTTTTAAGGGTTTTCTTTGTTGCAGTTGCAGTAAGTGCAGTTTTTGCTTGGTTTGGCAATGGAATGCTTGACTATGGATTTTCAATTTAACTTGTTTCAGTCCACAATACCGGCATTATCATAATTTTGTATCTAGCTTGGTAGCACCTTTACTTAAAAATCGTTTACCTGAAATCGTTGACTCGTGAGAGACAGACATACAAATTTGTAATGATGTGTGGTTAAAGCAGTTGCAAAACAAGATATTTCAAGGATTTCAGGATGTGTCAATTGGTATATAAATTTAATAAAATAATATTTTAATGATGCCTTAAAAAATACACAAAAAAGGCATATCATTGTTAAAAATATATGAAATATTTAAGCTAGCCTCAAGAAAGGTATATAACATATTTGTAGAAATTTAAACTTAAAGTGAACAGGTAGAATATATATACAGTCAAACTTCCATAACTCGAAGTACAATTCTGCAAAGGTTGGACTTTTTTTATTTTTGAAAGAAACTTGAATCACATTTTAAGATATTTATTTATTTGCAATCAAACAAAGCACAGAAGTTATAGTGAAGTATAATATTCAGAAATTAGGGTTTGGGTCTTCAATTTTTTTCTTATTTTCAGTAAAAAGAGATTCCACTTTATTCTTACTCTTATCACTATTAGTTGTAGTATCATTCGTTTGCAAATATAAGTTCAGAATTTTAAATGAATCTTCTACTTCATTCTTAGAAGGCTGATAAACAATTATATCCACCGAGCCCTCATCATCACTTTCCGTTGCGCTTAGAATTGGATCTAGCAATTTAGAGCTATATAGTACTTAATAATATCGTCATCTGTAGAAAAGTTTAATGTACAAATTACATTGTCAAGGTCAATATAATAATTAAAAGTAGCATTGGAAGTTATTTTATTTACTTTAAACCACGTTGCCAACGACTGGCATTTGCACAAAGAAGCAACATACGAAAAAAAAAATTAAACCTTTGGTTTGGAAAAATGGACTTCCCCTAACAGCAAAATGCATTTTTACTTAAAACAAAAATTCGACTTATAGAATGCAATTTCCCATATTCCTGTCGGCACGGAACAACATTTTTGTTCGAGATATAGAGAAATTAGAGTTATAGAAGTTCGAGATCTGCGAACAGGTACTAATCGATGGGCATTAAATCTAGTAGATACGATGTGGAAGCAATTATAAGTATGATACGTACTATTTGGCTGTGGTAGCCAACAATTTATTACACAGTGCATTGTCGTGGTGAAAGAGGACATTTTCATATGGGGCTGTTATTGCGCGTTTTCGTACTTTTAATGCACCAGTAGCAACATGTATATATCGCTATAATTGGTTAGGCGATTTTAGAGGTAGTCAATGAACAAATTTCTAACTGCATCACAAAATACGGACACCAT